CCACTAAATATTCTTGAAAAAAGCCATAGGGGTTATTTCATTTTATTTTTACTTAAAATTATATATGTGTGACTGTAAGTTTTCTCTGTCTCCCTGGTCCCCCTGGACTGGTTCCCGTCCTGCTCACTAGTTCCCATAGTTGCTTATAAAATAATTATTCAGGGGCTAACATACTAAATATAATTGTTTGGCCAATGACTTAGGCCTCTTACTGGCTAGCTCTAACTATAAATTAACCCATTTCTAGTAGTTTATGTTTTACCATGAGGCTCATGGCTTACAGGTAATGTTCGGACCTCTTTCTCCTTTATTGGCTACGTGGTGTCTCTTCGACTCTGCCTACTCTCTCCTTCTGTATCTTTGTTTGAACTTCCTGCCTAGCTTTTCTCTGCTAAGCCATTGGTCAAGAGGCTTATTTACCAGCCAATAAAACAACACATAATTAGAAGGGCATCCCACATCATATATGAGTGACGATACAGTCCCAAGAGTCATATTTCTCTAAGAGAAACTCTGGTGCCAGATGTGGGAAACCTCTCTCCAAGTTTGTTGTTGAGGGAAATTCAAGAGATTCCCAAAACAATGCGGAATATTGCCATTGCCCTCTGTTGCCTCCTGGAATCTGAAGGTAAGTCTCTATTGCTGGAGACAACACACACTTTGGACACATGACTTATTTATTCTTGGTATTAAGCTCTTTTGTTAATTCTTACTTTGATGTATTTAAGCCAATGTTTCACAGTTTCCTCCTACAAACATAAATTGCTATGGAAACTGGTTTTTAACAAATACTTACCAAACACTGTGTGTGTGCCATGCAGCATTATCAGTATTTGACTTGGAACTTGAGAGTGAACAAGAGTCTGATGTTGAGAAGTCTATACTTAACAAGAAAAAAACACCCGCACATTTTCCAGTTGTGAATCTCTTTGTTAGTTCCTGTCTACTGCAAGAAGCTTCACTGATGAGAGCATGCAAAATATATAATACATTAGCACACTTGTACACTTGTGTAATAGGGAACAGGGAAATTTTGAAATAGGGGAGAGTAACATGAGAAACAGAGTAAGAAGTGAGCAAAGATCACACACCACCACAATATCACTGGATATCGTTCGTCCCTTTGGGTGTCTTTCTAGGACAGAAATGGAAAAGGGAATGTCATTTATTTGAGAAGGAACACCAATTTTCTCCTGTGCCAAGACACCAAAATTTTTGGTTCTTGGGCTTTGTGATGCCAGGAATCATCTTAGCATCTTCTATCCTCTACTTGCCAAGTATCTCGGCTGGAAGTGATACCACTAACTTTTCTTAGAGAATCTGAAAGGGTAATGGGGGGGGGGACTTGAGAGATGGCTCAGTGAGTAAGAAGATTTGTTCTGAAAGCATGAAGACTTGTTTAGAATCTGTAACATCCACATAGAAATCCAAGCTTCGCTACACATGTGTATAACCCCAGCACTGGACAGAGGAGAAAAGCAGATTCTGAGTGGCCCCTGAGAAACTAGCCTAGTTGTGATCTCATTAAGTGAGAAACTCTGTATTAAGACAATACAGTCAGGAGTCAGAGAAAAATACTCATTCCTGCCTTATTCTCCTCATGGTGGGGTGAGGGGAGCAGGGGGTGAAAGTGGAGGGAAGGGGAGAGAATAGAGATAGATAGATAGATAGACACAGAGAAAGAAAGAGATAAAAATACACATACATACACACACATGGGAAGGAGAATAAAAATGGGAACAGCTAGGCAGTAAAAATCCCTCAAAACTTTTACCTTGCAAAGAGGGGCAAGAAATTACATAGTGAAATGAAATGGGAATCATAAAAAAAATGTAGAAACAACTTCTGAGAAATAATGGCACATTTGCATGAAGATGAGAATAATTCAGTACAACACACACACACACACACACACGATGATAAAGGGCACAGAGAGCCATTCTGAAGTAATGCTGTGGAAGTGGGATTGAATAGAATCTGGTACCCAGGGATTGTCTTCAAAGAAGAGCATGCATGGCTCCACTATGAAAAGGGATGAAAACATAATAGTTTATGGGTGCAATGACCAGAGTATTATATGCAGGTGATGTGATAATGAGTATCACATTAAGTGAGCTTCACATAAAGACCAATTTAAAATTTTAAGGCTTTTAAATAGTATAGGATGCAGCCTGTATTGCTTAGGGATTTACCCGATTGGATGATTGGGAATGAAGAAACAACAGGCACACACACACACACACACACACACACACACACACACACACACATATAGCTGGAATTGGGTAGAGCATGCAATCTAATGAAGAGGCACCAACAACAGCCTGGAAACACAGAGCAAGAGGAGGGTTAGATAATCTTGGTAGAATTAGGGGAGCAGACTTAGACTGTCAGACTGTAGTCATCATTAACATCTGTACTTGAAGTAGAGAGAGATTTGCATTCTTTCTGAGCCTATCACAGGAAACCCTTGCCGTTCCAATCTGAGGAACAGTCAAACACTCATTATTTGCTGATGCTATGATAGTTTACATAAGCGACCCCAAAAACTCCACCAAGGAACTTCTACAACTCATAAACACTTTCAGTAATGTAGCAGGATACAAGGTTAACTAAAAAAAAAAAAAATCAGTAGTCCTTTATACAGAAGATAAATGGGCCGAGAAAGAAATCAAAGAAACATCACCCTTCACAATAGCCACAAATTGCATAAAATATCTCGGAGTAACTCTAACTAAACAAGTGGAAGACTTGTATGAAAAGAACTTTAAATTTTTGAAGAAAGAAATTGAAGAAGACACCAGTCTGAGGCACTGTGGTCCTTGACATAACTTTGCTTATTTCTACAACATACACATTCACCAGGACTTCATTCGCTCCCTGAAGCTAGGAAAGAGAAGCAATTGGTGGATGCATCCACATGGAACCAAGACATCCAGGGGGATATGAGAAAGAGAAGAAGACACTGAAGTGGATGAGGAGAGTAAGAGGATACGGGATCGAAGTTGTGGTGGTTGTGGTAGTTGTGAAAGAGGGGTGGGGTGAAGGAAAGGCAGGACGAGGGGCTTTGATGTTCAGCAATGGTGATCATGGAACAGAACGAAGAAAATCAGTGTCTTGGGGGAAGATTTGCAATACATGAGGATTTCTTGGGTATAACAATGATAATATAAGGTTATTACTGGAGAGTAGTCCTTGGAATTGGAAGCTCAAGGGATTAAAAGACTATCTTGTTTTACATTGATTTTTCCAAAACTATTGGGAAGAATTACCATGAGAAAGGTTAAAGGTATAAATACATGGTTCTCATGAAGCAGACTTACTAAGAAGAGGGAAGCGATAAATATAACATAAGGCATGATTGAAGGTAAAAGCAGAGGGGAAGAAGAGTGTTCTGGGAACTCCATTGCAGGTAAGGACTCTTACATTTTCCCATGCTTAGTGCTGTAGGACTGAGAGCAGAGCCTGCCACCCATTTGGTAAAGAATAAAATCACAAACATAGAAATAAACTTGAGGGCAACGAAGTATGCTGATGATGAGTTATGGGCTCAGAGGGTATTTGGGGACCCAGTAGAAGTTCCAGGGGGCGGGGGGGATAAAAGATGTGAGATACTGAAGAGGTAAAGCGCAAGAGAGCAGAGTGACCTAGGAATCTTAAGGCTTGGGGTTACTGATATTGCTCAAATTAGTCTCAGTGGTGAGAACAAAGTTTATGTGATTAGGAAGACCCAGGGGGTGTTTTAGGCCTCACTGTTATCTATAAATAGGATACAAGGACTAATTGGGGCCTGGCCTTAGTGGACAAGTCCACTCTTGATTCTCTATGCTGAGGTGAATCTGGGTTGCTGTGAGGTGTTCTAATCCCAGTTGAGGGCCTTCCAATGATGACTCTGGCAATTGCAACACATGGGAATCTTTTCACCAATGACGTGTTTTATTTATAATACAGTCAAAATGGGTCCAACCAAGAGTTTTGATCTTTCCATCTATCTTTGAGATGTTATTGTTTTTCTTTTCATTTTATGGTTTTATTAATTTTATGTCATTGGGCCTGGCCTAGATACCATGTAAAACAGGTATACCTCAGCCACTCTTGTGGGACTGGTTGTGTTTGCTTTGAGGCTTGACTGTCCGTGAATCAAGATTGACAATTTTTGATCCCCCTTCCTCTACCTCCCCCATGCTGGAGTTACAGGCGTATCCCAGCTCTCTGGTTTGTGAAGTGCTGAGGACTGAACCTCAGGTTTTTTTCAGGCCACGTGAGCGCTAAACCAACTGAGCCGCATCTCCAGTCCCAAATGCATCATTAAAATGCTATATGGGTTTGATTTGAGCATGATCTGTCCTGCTCATATTTTTCTCTAGCACCACAAAGTGTATTTAAATAAAAAGACTTATGAACATAGAGGGGAAATACATTACACAACCACAGTAGTAATTTGCTTCTGAGTGACAGATTTTCATAAACACCATATTTTCTAAAATAAAAACGGATTCTACATTAAATATATTGTAAGGTTTTCATCGTCTCCTTTGGTGATGTCTGCAAGTAATTAGTGACTTGACTTTTAAAGGTGTGTGTGTGTGTGTTTAAATATTGTTTCATTTTTTTTCCACTCATTCTTTTTTTCATATATTATTTTACATATATTAAAAATTCCATTTAACCAATTTAAAGCATATTAAAATCCTTTCTAGTGTAGATGAACTTGAAGAAGGAAAATAAAATGCTTTGCCATCATCATCAATGGGATGGTGCAGAAGAAGCAAATAGAGCCGTGAAGCTAGGAGTCTCTGAATGTACACCTGCCACAGGCTCTGTGCCCACCCTGCCTTCAGCTTACCATGCTCAGAATGAGTGTCCAGTAAGAACCTTTAAGGAGTGCACTTATTTCAGAACATCTCTAAAGTGCTAGGTGTGCTGAAGTTAGGACGTGCGTTTTAAAGTGACAGCTCTAAACAACAGAAACTCCAAAAAATTTCAGATCCTTTCCCGTTCTCTAACTTCTCAAGGATTCAAATTATAAAGCTAACTAAGACGTCGCCTACTATAAAGGCTGTTTGTGAAATACCAAGTTGTGGAAGTTGCCAAAACTGTGTGTGCTGGCAAAATTAAATAAGCTTCCCCCGTCAGGTGACTGCACTCGGGCATCAGAGTTTCAGCTGTTGCTGAAGACTGTGGATTGAAGATCCACTGTTTTGGAGTATCTCAGTTATTGTGTTTTCTCCTGCAGTGGTTTTGATGACTTTGGATACTCCACTGGTTCCCAGGATGCATGGCAAACTTAAGAACACTTCATTATCTAAACCATAACATCCCTTTGCTAGAGTTGATACAGAATGCACCTTCTTTTTATTGTTTACAATAGTGTCCACCAGGTCAGCCACAGACAGGCCAATAGACCAAGATCTCTGACCTTTTACCCTCAACAGTTCCATGGCTCTGCTGGACAGCTGTGCAAGAGAGCTATGACTCATTACCCCGTCTCGGCCACTCCATGAGCACACTTTGTTTTCTTCCTGTTCACCAATAACCCATACTTCTTTGCCTGGAGTCTGTGCCTTCAAAACATTGGTAATAATGTATTGTAATCTCTGTGAGTCCAGATTGCATCCAATCCCAATCACTCTATTTGCGGGAAATGTGCTCAGTTTCCATGTCACATAGCTCATGATTTCCACTGGTTGAGATGCAACAAGCAAGACTGCATGTTGACTGTAATGTCCCAGAGCCGGGACAAGAGCTCTGAACATGTTTACATTGCTTTGCACGGCATGAAGGTAGGAGTCAGAACCACCCAAAGAGTTGGCGGTGAAGATCACCACCTTGGAATGAGCAGAGGCAGACAAATCTTTGCTGATCTCTACATTAGGCAGGTTGAAGATATCAAGGTCCATTGTTTCTTGGTTAGTCCCATTGGAGAGGTCTAAAAGGAGCAGCTTGTCTGCAATGCCCTTTGCTGAAATTGCCATTGTGCAGGCAATACCCAAATCTCCACTTCTGACCACAGTGATTTTATTCGATATTTTAGTCTCATGATTTGTCCAGCCCCTTGAATTTATGTCTGAGATACCTTCAGTGATTTTTGCAATATAGGCTAGCAAGTCGACCTGCTGCGCTTCGTTGGATGATGGCACCGAATAGAGAGGAAGTTCCTCTTGAAACTTGGCAATCATTTCTTTAATTAATCCAACAATGACAGACTTAGGATGGCTCCAGTTTTGGAGATAGGGCAAGTATATTCTGCCTTTGGCATCCACATGTTTTCCAACTGAGATTTCCATGTTTGCAGTTGGCTTCAAGAAGCAAATGGGTGGAGTAAAAGGGTGAGAATCCAAAATCCAGAAGCGAATGGGTATGTTGTACGTATTACCCTGATACATCACAGGAATAGTACCAGCAAAGATCAGCAGGTCTTTTTGGGAAGTATCTTTGAAAATGTAGGTGTCCATGGAATATCTGAAGTGCGGGAAAAACATGTTCACATTCTTCAGCTCTTCTACCGTCAGATCCCTGAACTTGTACTTGCCCAGCAGCCGCCTCAGGGCCTCATAGTCGAACTCCATGGCCGGCAGAGTAGTGGTCCTCGGCCTTTCCCACTCATTCTATTGCGATAAAGTGACTATGCCTCTAAGATTTTGTTTCCTACTTTAATCATATTTTTGTATTTTAATTTTGCTCATGGTCATTTAAACTTTAAGTTAGTCCTTTCAGTTTGCCACCTCCCACAGTGATTCATCAGACCATGTGGTTAGCAGTAATGGTCACAAAGATTATGATTTTTTTGGACAGATTTCTCTTGTCCAGCCATTTCTCAGCAGGAAAAAAAGAAAACATGGACTCCTTATTGAACAATTTACACTTGGCATTTACTTCCTCAAGTTGCCATATGCCAAAAAAAACCCCACTATGCATTAATTCTAATTATGTGGTAACATCTATTTATACTGTTCAATAAGCAGCTTTCTAGGCAAAAAAAAAAAAACCCAAAAAACAAAACAAAACAGAAAGGCCACACTTTAACCCACTGGTAGCAGGGATACTTATTTAAGTGTGAATAAAAAAATAAAATGTTTTATACGTTAATATACCAGGAAAATCTAACTATTTCATTATAAAACAATATTTCATATTGTTTTCCAGCCAGTCATGTTTCTGGAGTTTGGTTTTTCAAGGCTCTATACTTTGGAAAGTCATAAATAACAATAGCAAGAAGTAGGACAGAACTGATTCACCCCATACTATAGAAAAATTAATATCCAAACTACAGGTTTATCTTCACTAATGAAGGCTGTTGGCAAGCATGGCATTGACTTTTTAAAAATATATATGCAATACATGCTTTATTTATATGTTATTATAGAAGGCTCACTGGAGCCAAGGAAATCAGAAGGGAATGAATTTTCTTTTTTCCACACATTGTCAGTTTGTAAGTTATGAGGCCCCAAAATAAAACCAATGAATCAGCATCACAAGAAATAAAATGGAGTTAGGGACAACTCTTCTCACAGTGGACATGAAAAAATTATAACCAAATCTCCAAATTGAAAAATGGACACCTTCTGGAAACATATCTGTTTTGAGGAATTTTTGGAAACAATTCTCATTTGTCTCATTTCTTTCATGGTCATAAAGTCAGGTAGAAGTCAGTTATGTGATTTTTCGGCAACTTATTCATAAACTCATTCTTAGGTTCCCAACTGACTATATCATTTTGTTATCTGCTAGATATAAAGGGCACTTTGGCTACCGTATGGCTTCATTTATCAATATTCTCCCATTTATCTATGTGATAGCTAATCTTCCGAATCACCTAGGAAGCACACGGATGACCATTTCTGTCATGGCATCTCCAGAGCATAACCAGGGAAGGAAGATGCACTGTAAACTTGAGCAGTGCCATCCCAGAGGTTGGGGAAAAGAAGGTAAACCAATGACCACGCTGCTTCCTGACTGAGTATGCGACTGCAGTAGCCACCTCCTCTTCCTGCAGGCATGCTTTTCCTGCCAGGATAGATTCTATTACCTCAATCCAGTGAACCCAAATAAACCCTCCCTTCCTTCTTCCTCTCCTTCCTTCCAAGCCTAGTTTTTCTTAGTGTGTTTGATCACAACAGTGAGAAAATCAACTAATATAGTATGCTAATTTTTTACATTTTGCTTTAATATAGTCTACTTTTTATTAAATGTAGAAGATAAATTTCTTCTTCCCATTCAATTAAATACTAAGCTTCCCTGCCTGTAGTATACTTCCTTTAGTTATAAACAACAACTACCTTATCACATATTGTTTAAATGTTATTTTTTAATTTTTTCATGTTGTTTGTACCAATGATAGATACACTGTTTAGTTTTTAAGCTTCTAGAGGATAATTCACCAAATTATTGTGATAGGTTTACTGAAATAGCTGGATTCTTAATGTATATATTGATACTTTGGGGATCTTTTGAGACAGTGTTAATGACTTTTGGATAGATGAAGACAGTTACTTTAAGAACAGCATTCTAGACAAGGGTGGTGGTGGTGTAGGCCTACAATTGCAGCACATGAGAGGTGGATCCAGGAAGACCAACATCGTCTTCTGTTAAAAAAAAAAAAACATTGGAAGCCTGCCTGGTCTACAGGGGACCTTACCTCAAAACATAAGCATTGGCATTCTCTTGTTCCAAGAAATAGTGAACTGCATGTGTGAGAAATTCCATTATGTCAGTTAGGATTGCTATTGTTCACTAACTGAAACTCCAAAACAATAGTGCAATAGCAGTTAAATAAAACAGAAATAATTTTCTCATATAACAAGAAATTCAGAACCAAAAACCCAAGGCTTTAGTAGTTGTTCAATGTCAGCTTGCCACATGGTTCTGTGTATTGCTCACCATATAGTCCTTTATGCTTGGAGTCCTCACCTGAACCTAAGGGGCCTTCTTCACTGAAAGTCATCCTCCCTGTCATATTCCAGGGACAACAAGGATGACGCATCAAAGGGATAAAACAATGGATGGCAGTGGACTTTGATGGAAGACTTTCCAGGTATGAAAGCCTTGGCTTCCATGGGAGTGGTGCTCATTCTTGGGAAAATGGTTTTTTTTTTTTTTTTGACTACATACGTTTCCCTCATCATCTCCAGCTGGGCTCATTTTGCAAAAGAACTAAGTGATAGCTCCCAGAGTCTTGCTGATGGCTTCTGATTAGACGTCATATTTTCTCTCAGTTTGTAGAATGTTAATTATCATCTAATATCCTCCTTACAACTTTGGGGTGTTGCATGTCTTTATAGAGGCTGTATTCTTTTTGCTCTCTCATTGTTCATTTAAGGCAGGAATTGTTTCATGTCCAGTTTTCTCAATGGGATGGAAATTGAAATGATCCATGTACTTTGTAGGCCAGTGTTTGGGGGAATAATGGATTTGTTTCCCACAACTATCTTCACTGGCTCTCAGCAGAACTTAGAAGATTCATGACTCTAGACAATGATAGAGCCATAAAGTGAATTGCATGGTTTTCAACTTCTCTATGCATTGGAGAGTCACCATTAACTAGTAACACATACATAGGGATAATAAAAATTAACACAATGTTAAGATTCTGATAGTTGTGGGTCAGCTAATTTTAATTAATAAACATCTCATACAGAGTCTGCCCCAGATGATATTTCTTTAGTTAATCTGAAAAGGTTCTATAAAAATGATCAAGAGTTGGAGAGATGATTCAGTGGGTCAAGTGTGTTGGACATATGAGCACAGGTATCTAAGTTTGGATCTCAATATCCACATAACATCCAGAGTGATGTGCACCTGTAACCACACTGCCTGCAGGGTGGATAAAGAACTCTCTGTCCGGATAAAATAGCAAGCTCAAGGGGGAGAGACATTGAGGAAGACAATGAACATCAACCTATTGCTTCTAGACACTAACTCATTCAAGTAAAACAGAGAGAGAAAGAGAGAGAGAGAGAGAGAGAGAGAGAGAGAGAGAGGGAGAGAGCATCTCTTAACACCCTATCCTCTGATGAGTACTAAAGAAAATGTTGGGAAAGTGTTTCATTCTTTTTTTCATGTTCTATTCTTATTTCATGATTATCAAACCATGATAAGATATATTCCAGTTTTGCTTTCTTTTCCTTCCAAAAGAAAGAAAAAAAAAAAGAAAAGAAACTGAAATGATAGCTTGGAATTACATTTTACATTTACAAGTGTTTGTCCTTATTATTCCTATAAAATTCTTTAACGGTTTATTAGATGTTCTTCTGTTGTTCTGCTAAAGCACCATGATCATGTCTACTTACAGAAGAGACAGTTTATTTCGCTTAGGGCTTAGATTCCATAGTGGTAGGAATAGCAAGGCCGCTGAAGCGTATTGCTGAAGCAGAGACAGCAAAGGGCAAATGGTCTCCTAACCAACCCCCAGTGACACACTCCTTCCATCAAGGCCACATCTAAACCTCTGCAGACACTGCCACCACCTGGGGATCAAGTATTCAAATGTCCAAGAACATGGGATACACACTCAAACTACCCCAAAAGGATTATAGCTACTTCTGCCTTCCTTCCGACTTCCTGTCTGTTAATATGCTGTTGTCCATACTGCTGTGGCTGGAACAATCTTACTTCCATCTTCAGACTTATGCAGAATTCCACATTTTCATTTTACCTCCTACTGAACACAGGGAAGCTTACAGATGTTGACAGATTTTTAGGAAATAAACTGGCAGAAAACACAAACAATGTGTCCATACATAGGCAAGGATATGTCTCCTAATCTGTGTGGCATCAAACAATGGTAACAGGACAGGAGTCACTGGGTAAAATTCAAAATATAGAATAATCAACAAGTTTGAGCTAAATAAAAGCATGATTAAAAAACTTGATGAGCATGCTGATATATAATATCAGGATTAGTACATGAATTGATTTTGTGTGCCTTGTTGACATTCAGATACAAGAAATAAGCAGTAAAGAGACGAACCATCAGATAACACAAAGCCAAAACCAAAACATGTTATTAAATAAACTTAGAGATACATATAGTTCTACAGAAATAAAAAAGGTCTATAAGGCATGACAGTGAGGATGATTATATATCAATAACCTTAGATGACTTGGAAGGGAGAGGTGAATTTTTGTCTTCTGAAAGATACAGCTTACCAAGTCTTCACCATAAAATAAATATGAACAGATTTTTAAATAGTAATGAGAAGTAATCAAAATCCTGTCAACAGCAACAGCATCAGCAAGAGGATCAGGTTCTTACTGGAGAGTGATGCCAAAGGTTTAAAAAGTGATACTAATCCATCTAAGTCTCAAAAAAAGAAAGAAAGAGAAAAGAAAAGAAACACATTCAAGAGACCAGCATTATCAAAACCAGACAAAGTATGAAAAGTAAGAAAGAAATCCCTGAGCCAATATCTTTAATGATTTGAAATAAAGAACCTAACCAAACACAGACAAGGTGAATTCATCAGCACACACTTATAAAGAACACACACGAGGACCATATGGGATTTATCACTGGGATGGTAACTTGGCCTAGCATATAACAACCTTTTAATAAGATGCAACACATGAA